GGTTCCTTGTTGGTCTGTGCACTGTGTTCTCAGAAGGGGCCTGAGGAGGGAGGGCCTTCACCTCTCCATCCCCCAACCTGTTCCTTGTCCCAAGAGCAGGGTGTAAAGGAGAAGCCTTGCTTGATGTGAGAGTTGATGCCAACAGAGATGGTGATGGTTACCTCTCTCTTTTTTTTTTTTTTTTGGTGGTATGCTGGGGATTGAACCCACAGCCTCGACCATGCTAGGCAAGCATTCTACCACTGAGCCCTAGCACCAGCCCCTATATATTTTTTTTAATCATGGTAAAATATGCACAATCTAAAACTTAACCATTTTGTCCATTCATGGTGATTGGTTGGTAATGTCATTTGAGAGGTGTTTATCATGTACCAGGTACTCTCACTTAATTGTTAAAGTAATTCTTTGCATTAATATGATAGCCCTATTTATAGGTAATAAAGTTGAGGCTCTGACAGGTTAAGTGACTTGCCAAGGGACACACAGCTAATGAGCTCCAGGCTTGCTTTCTTCACCAGTTCTTTTTGCTACTTATTTGTGGTGCTGAAGATTGAACCCAGGACCTTATGCATGCGAGGCCAGCACTCTACCAACTGAGCTATGTCTCCAGCCCCTCTTTCTGCTACCTCAAAACCAAGTGGGTAGGCTTCATTATCCCCATTATATACATATGGAAACAAGCTCAGAGAGGCAAGTGACTGGCCCAGGGTCCCATAGCCTGATGAGAGGCAGGATTACTTATTTTTATTTTTATTTTTTTAATATTTTAGTTGGGGTTGGACACAATACCTTTATTTTATTTATTTATTTGTATGTGGTGCTGAGGATCAAACCCAGGGTCTCGCACGTGCAAGGCGAGTGCCTCTACTGCTAAGCTACAACCCCAGCCCAACTTATTTTTAATTGATTTTTTTTCTTTCTTCCTTTTTCTTTTCTTTTTTTTTTTTTGGTGATTGGGTCTCACTGAGCTGCCCAGGCTGTTTTCAGATGGCTCTCCGCCTCAGTGTCCGGGTATCTGGGACGACAAGTGTTCACCACCATGCCTGGCTTTGGGGAGGCCAGATGTGCGTGTGGTTCATTCAGTCCTGCCACTCACCCTGCTGTCTCTCTCCCCCAGGTGGCCATGGTGGAGGTGCAGCTGGATGCTGACCACGACTACCCGCCAGGGCTGCTCATTGCCTTCAGTGCTTGCACCACAGTGCTGGTGGCCGTGCACCTGTTCGCACTCATGATCAGCACCTGCATCCTGCCCAACATTGAGGCCGTGAGCAACGTGCACAACCTCAATTCCGTCAAGGAGTCACCCCACGAGCGCATGCATCGCCACATTGAGCTAGCCTGGGCCTTCTCCACTGTCATTGGCACTCTGCTGTTCCTGGCTGAGGTGGTGCTGCTCTGCTGGGTCAAGTTCTTGCCCCTCAAGAAACAGCCAGGCCAGCCGCGCCCCACCAGCAAGCCCTCACCCAGCGGTGTGGCCACCAACGTAAGCAGTGGCATCACCCCGGGTCAGGCAGCAGCTATCGCCTCTACCACCATCATGGTCCCCTTCGGCCTGGTCTTTATCGTCTTTGCTGTCCATTTCTACCGCTCCCTGGTCAGCCATAAGACGGACCGACAGTTCCAGGAGCTCAACGAGCTGGCTGAGTTTGCCCGCTTACAGGACCAGCTGGACCACAGAGGGGACCACCCCCTGACGCCTGGCAGCCACTATGCCTAAGCCCTCCTGCTGGGCCCTTCAGAGCTTTGGCCTTATGCCCTTCCCCATGACCTTGTCCTGCCCCAGCTTTGAGGACAGCCTGCAGGAGGCCGGGCTTGGTCAGGGCACAGAGTAGAGGGAAGGGGCTTTTTAAACAAGACATTACTGCACTTTGAGACTTTCCTCTAAGAGAGCAAGCACTTCCTGTTCTTCCAGCTCCGGGGCCACCTCCTGGTAAGAGGCAGTGGGGGCCAGAGTGGGGACAGATGCTCTCTTTGTCCCTATTCCATCACTGTGCCAGTGCCAGCCGGATGCTTCCTGTCCTCTCCGTCTCATCCTCCCTCCCCGTTGAGTGTCAAATGTGTGCATGTGTGTTAGCACATAAATATACTCATAAGGGACACCTCTTCCTTGTGTCTGTATTTGTTGTGTCCTGGTTCCGAAGTCAGGCAAGCCTCTAAACAGTTTTTAAAATATTTTGGAGGGGTTGGAATGTAGCTCAATGGCAGAGTGCTTACCTAGCATTTGTGAGACCCAGGGTTTGATCCCTAGCACCAGAGAAAAATATAAAGTAAGTTTTTAAGTTTTTTGTGTCTGTGTCTGTACATATGTGTGGTACTGGGGATGGAACCTAGGGTCTATCTATCTATCTCTTTATTTATTTATTTTGAGGAGGTACTGGGGATTGAACTAGGGGCACTCAATTACTGAGCCACATCCGCAGTCCTTTTTTATATTTTATTTAGAGACAGGATCTCACTGAGTTGCTTAGCACCTCACTAAATTGCTGAGGCTGGCTTTGAACTCACAATCCTCCTGCCTCCAACCCCTGAGCCGCTGGGATTACAGGCGCCCAGCCTCTACTTTTTTTTTTTTTTTTCCCCTAGAACTCTTTGGAACCTGCAGAAAACCTGTATAAATAGTAACTAAAATATGTATAGTCATTTCTTTTTATTTGAGGTAGTTGCATTCTATAAATCACCATGAACTTTAGGTGAGCAGTACTGAGCCATTGCTCCTAGGGAAAATCCAGGGTTGGTTGCCTGCCAGCCTCTGGTATGATATTTTTGTCATTTAATGAAAACATTACCTTGTTTTAGGTGTAATTCTATTTAAAGACATATTTTTATTGTTGATTCATTACCATTGAACTTACAGCCAACAGCAGCATTAAGTCATGCCTAAACAAAGCTTATTTAACACACATGTTGTCTCTGTAAGAGACATTATCACCTTGTGTTTAGGAATGCTAGACAGATTTCTAATACTGTATTTGGGAATCTTTTCTTTTTGTGCTGGGGATTGAACCAGGGCCTTAGCCTCACTCCTCTACCACTGAACTACTATATCCTCAGCCCACTGGGGACCATTTTAAATAGCAGGATCAAAATGTAACACTAAATATTAAACTGTGAAGCTGGACACAGTGGTATACACTTGTAATCCCAGCTACTTAAGAGACTGAGGGAAGAGGATCTCAAGTTCCAGGCCAGCCTGGGTGACTTAGCAAGACCCTGTCTCAAAATGAAATGGAAAAAGAGCTGGGGATGTACCCTGGTAGCGTACCTGGGTTACATCCCTAATACTGCGAAGAAGAAGAAGAATAAAAAGACGCTTGTTTTTGGTAGAAGCAGAAACTAGAACAAGGCAGTGTTAGGCAGTATTTTTCTTCTTGTTAGACCTCAGCAGATAGGCAAGTTCACAAATACTGAGACCACAAATGAGGCTGGACTGCATAAATCCCCCAACCCCATGTCATATCTTTTAGTTGTTTAACATTCATGTTCGGTTTCCCACTTATCCCAGGAATGAATGCCCTTTCTGATGATGCTTTTTCCAATCCTGAACCATGCATAGCAATGAATCATCCTGTCTTAACCTCCTTTAGTTTGGAACAGGTTCTCAGCCTTTCTTGTCTTCTGTAATATTAACATTTTCAGAGTCCAAGCCTGTGGTTTTATGTAGAATGTCCTATCAGTTTGGTTTCTCTAATATTTTCTCACTATTTTTTAAATTACAATCAGGGTGTGTGTTTTGGCAGAAATAGTGTATAAGTGAGATGGTGTCAGGACCCTTTTAAAACAAACAAGCAAAAATGTTAGTTCACCATTCACCGATATATCCATCAACTCATTTAATCCTGAGCATCCTTACCAGACACCAGGCAGGTTCAGACTAGGAAAAGTCTTGCTCAGAAACTGGGTCTGCGCAAAAGTCCTACCTGGGCTTATTCTGGTTTTGCTTGAAGAATGGGAAGATGCAGGAGCACTGGGCTTACCTTGCAGAGAAGCAGCAGGAGCTGAGTTGCCACCACCCTCTCTCCCCAGGGCCTATTTTTATCACAGTCTCCACCTCTTTTTATTTCATTCTTTCTTTTTTTTAATATTTTTAGTTGTAGATAGACACATACCTTTATTTTATTTATTTATTTTTATGTGGTGCTGAGAATCGAACCCAGTGCCTCACACACTCTACCACTGAGGCAAATACTCTACCACTGAGCCACAACCCCAGCCCCTCCACCTCTCCCTCTTGTCCCACACCAGGCCAGGTTCACTTGTTACTTGCCTGGCCCCAATAGGCCCTGAGTTTGAGATTTCAGAAACTCAGTATGTAAAGTGGTTTTAGAAAGTGCTTGGCTAGTCAGGCATGATGGTGCATCCCTGTAATCCCAGTGGTGGCTCCAGAGGCTGAGGCAGGAGGATCACAAATTCAAGGCCAGCCTCAGTAATTTAGCAAGGCCCTAAGCAACTTAGTGAGACCCTGTCTCAAAATTTTAAAAAGGCTGGGGATGTGGCTTAGTAGTTAAGTGTCCCTCCTTTTAACCCTGATACCAAGAAAAAAAGGCGGGGGGTGCTCTGGCTGAAATAAAAGTTGGGTGGGGCATTGGTAAGCCTAATACTCATCTCCCTCCTATGACTTCACATTCACCCTGCACCCTAAGATCTCTACTTCACTACTTCTGCAGAGACCCAGGATTTGGCGGTAGTCATTTCTGCTGTGATCCTATAGTCTTAGATTCGCTTTCCTAAACTTGCCTGGACTCAAGAATCCCTGGACTAGCTTGCAGGATGCAGATTTCCAAGTCCCGCCCCCAGGAGATTCTGATTCAAGTTGGTTTGGGTGTGTCTCTGGAACTATTTCTAATAAGCACCCCAGGTGTCTCATGCCCAGGCAACTTGGGCAAGATTCATAGTTAAGAGCAGTCTGGAGCTGGGTGTAGCTCAGTGGTAGAGCACCTGCTTAGCATCTGTGAGGCCCTGGGTTCCATCCCCAGCATCCAAGTAAATTAATAAGATCACAGTCCTTTAGTTACAATTTTATTTATATTTTGAATACAGCAGATAATACATTCACAGGGTTCCAAATATAACAGTGAAAAGTTGCTCTCACCCCTGTTCCCAGATCCTCTGTTCTCCCCAGAGATGACCATTATTGCCAGTTTTGGCTCCTGCCTAGCACTATTTTATACATAAACACACCTTCCCTCCTCCAGCTTTTTCTAAAACAAAATGGTAACCTTCTATACATACTCTCCCATGCCTTGAAAGCAGATAGATTAAAGTTTAGGCACAGTACTAGCTTGATGACATATGAACCTCCCTCAGTTTCCTCCTCTAAAATGGAATTAATAATAGCAGGACAACTCACAAGTCTGGGTAAAGTCACTTGGAGAGTAGGCATAGGAAGTTGTTGACACAGGCCTGGGCATAGGATAAACACTCTGTATCTGGTAGTTGATTCTATATCCTGTGATGGCCAGCCTTGATTCTGATGTCCATTACAGACAGAACCACACCCTGGGTCAAGCCACTTAGGATGCAGGGGGCAGGGAGCATCTTTACTGAGCTTTTTACTATATACCTAGCACATCCTGAGGGCTTTACAAGCATCACTGGATTTCAGTGCTTCTCCACCTCGACACTGTTGACCTGGGATGAACAGCTCTCCGGTAGCATTCTTACATTGTAGCGTACTGAGCAGCATCCCTAGTCTCTACCCGCCAGACCCCAGTAGCATGCTTCACTAATCATGACAGCTCGAAATGTCTCCAGACATTATCAAATGTCTGAGGTGCTGGGGATAAAAAAAATCTCACCTGATCTTAAAACCACTGCTTGGTTCCATCCTTGTAGTAACGAACCACAGTAACCCTGGCAGCTAAGTCTTGTTCTGACCCAGGTTACAGGTGAGGAAGCCCAGAAAACAGAGTTTGGGTGACACTCCCAAGAAGACACAATTCACGCCCAGGCAGGCTAGCTCTAGGGTGCATTAAGCAAGAGTCCCTTTTATCGCTCAGGAATGCTGCCTACCTTAGAATTCTGCAGAACTCTTCCCGGGCACATGGTCCACAGTTAACCTCAATACATGCTATTGCATCAAGGCCTCCAAACACTCCTGTGAAGTTTCTAAATTTGATTTTACAGATAGAGCAAAACTAAGGCCACTAGCTTAGGGATCCATGGCCAGAAGATCAGGGGTTCTTGTCTTCAGCTCCACATCAGAAAACCTTGGGGAACTCTTTGAATGCCTAGGCCTCATCCTAGATGGGACTCCCTGGCAATGGGACCTGGGCATCCACAGCTTTTATTTATTAGATAATTTATTTAGGTACTGGGAAGGGAACCCAGGGTGCTTCACCACTGAGCTACACTCCCAGTCCTTTTTTTTTTTTTTTTTTTTTGAGGGTCTTGTTAAGTTGCTGAGGCTGGCCTCAAACTTGAGATCCTCCTGCCTCAGCCTCCCAAGTTGCTGTATTATAGGTGTGTGCCACTGCACCAGGCTGTCCATAGCTTTTAACGTTTCCGTGGATTCCAAGATTGAGAGCTTCTGTGTGACATTGAGAAGGTGGGTCAGGCTTTAATACCAAATCTTGGTGGCCAGTGTGGTAGAATGCAGGTTCATCCTCCTCTCTGGACTGTCTGAGAGGTCAGAGACCAGGAATCCTGTGATTTTCTCCACCCAGAAATTCATGCAACGATGAGGCAGTCTTGCCCTCCTCCGTCTGACATCTTTCTGAGCTTTCCCACCCCTTCCTCATACCACAGACCCTGGGCTAAGGCCACCAGGTTCTTTATTCTCATGCACTCAAAGATGAGGTCATAGGATGAAAGACTGAATGAAAGTCCCAAAAGTCAGCTGGTCCCCCCATCAGCAAAGAATGACCTAATGCTGGGAGGAGTGCCCTCTGAGGGTGCCAAGGGCATGCCCAGAGTCGCTGCTTGCTCCTCCAGCAGGAGCCGCACCAGTCTGAGCAGTTGGGTGACATGGCTTGAGTTTCTCCTGAGCCTTGACACTCTCTCTGCAGGGGTGAGGGAGACATGGAGCTGGCATTTGAAAAACATAATGCCCTTTCCTCAAGCCTCACTTACACCCACTCCAGGAGGAGCTACCCCTGGACAAGGCCCCATCACACAGATGTGCAAATGGAGGCTTGGGACCCACTCTCCTCACCTCAAGGGCATTTAGGAGTGAGGGAACCACCTAACTCCAGCCCAGTGCCCACCCCAGCAAAGCCCAGCATGCAAGAGGGAAGATTCAGGCAGGACTGGAATGCACTAGTCTCCAGGGACATGGGTTTTGAAGGGGAGGAACCAAAAAGGACTACCTGGACCACAGGAGGCAGGAAACCTGCCTTCTCTGGTCTTGCCCTGCAGCCCTTTGGAAACCCTAAAAGACCTGTGCATCCTTCTGGTCCCTGGAGCTGCCTCAACCTCTTCAAAGGTGTCAAGTGTGGCCACCTCCTCACCTGGCATCAATCTCCTTCTTTTTCTGTCTTCTGGAACATGGCCAAGGCTTCCTTCAGCACACCATCAGGGTCTAGAAGTTTGACCTGGAGGGAAGCAGCCAGGGTTTGGTTTGGGGAGCATGGGAGTCGCCTTGCTGGGGATGCCCTCCCTGCCTGAAAACAGAACCTCATCAGTTCCCTGGCTGAGCGGGGTCAGGGGCTCCTTTCTTTCTCTCTGGGTGTGGCTGCAGGTCCCTGGGAAGCGACTCACCTCAGGAATAGGGAACCGAGTTGGCTCAGGGACTTCATCACGGCCAAAGTCGATCATGGTGCCACACTTGGCCACATCGTCCACCCAGAAACCTTCAAACAGCTGACCATGGTCCAGGTAGAAGAAACGCCCTTGTCCATTCTTCATGCCTCTCTCCCAGAAACCCTCATAGCGGTTCCCATTCTCTGGGGAAATGATAGGGAGGTGAGGATGCTGGGAATATCAAACCAGCCTGAGCCCGGCGTGGTTGTGCATCCTGTAATCCCAGCCACTCAGGAGGCTGAGGCAGAAGGATCACAAGTTCAAAGCTGACCTCAGCAACTTAGCAAGGCTCTCAACTACTCAGTGAGATCCTGTCTCTAAATAAAATATTTAAAAGGGGCTGGGGATGTGGCTCAGTGGTTAAGCACCCTGGGTTCAACCCTCCCGTACACTTCTGCCTAAGGCAGGAGGATTTTAAGTTCAAGGCTAGCCTCAGCAATTCAGCAAGACCCTCAGCTACTTAGTGAGACCCTGTGTCAAAACAAGAATAAAAAGAACTGGGCTGTAGCTGAGTAGTATAGGGCAGCTGAATTCAATCCCAAGTTTAAAATTTAAAAAATTCAGCACTTACTAATAGGTTTCAGCCTCCACGCTAAGGCATTTTACAAACATACATCTCATTTGACCTTCACAATAATTCCAGAAAGTTTTATTTTATTTTATTTTGATGGTAAGGATCAAACTCAGGGCCTTGTACATGCTAAGCATGCACTCTGCCACTGAGCTATAACCCTAGAATGATTTTAATTTTTATCTACAAGTTATGGACAAGGAAATCAAAGCACAGTTCAAGCAAATCACCTGAGGTCCTAGCACTTGTCACAAGCTCAGGACAAGTTCTCAAACCAGGCAGGTTGTCCCAGAGTCCAGGCCAAGGGAATGAACCACTTAGCTGGGCATGGTGGCAAAGGCCTGTAATTTCAGCTATTTGGGAGGCTAAGGCAAGAGGACTACAAGTTCAAGGTCAGCCTGGGCAATTGAGTGAGACAAAAGACCAGGATGTAGCTCAGTGACAAAGCATCTGCCTAGCATGTCAGGCCAAGGGATCAACTCCCAGCACTCAATTTATATATATATAGAAAGAGAGAGAGCGAGAGAATCTTTATTTATTTATTTATTTAGTTCTCGGCGGACACAACATCTTTGTTTGTATGTGGTGCTGAGGATCGAACCCAGGCCGCACGCATGCCAGTCGAGCACGCTACCGCTTGAGCCACATCCCCAGCCCAACTCCCAGCACTCAAAAAAAAAAAAAAAAGGAAGGAAGGATACACTTAAGGATACACTCACACTGGCAGGCCACAGCAGGTTATTCACAGAGGGTGTTTAGGCTCACAGCTGGGGTGTGGGGAAGACTAGAAAGACAGAAAAAATGGCCCACCTAACCTTCCCAGTGGCCCTGATGCCTCAGCTTGGCTGACTCTCACTGGAAATTAGAATCTTGTGGGGCTGGGGATGTGGCTCAAGCGATAGCGCGCTTGCCTGGCATGCATGTGGCCCGGGTTCGATCCTCAGCACCACATACAAAGATGTTGTGTCCTCCGGAAACTGAAAATAAATATTGAAATTCTCTCTCTCTCTCTCTCTCTCTCTCTCTCTCTCTCTCTCTCTCTCTTTAAAAAAAAACAACATGGGGAATATAGCTCAGTTGGTAGAGTTCTTGCCTTCCATGCACAAAGCCCTGGGTTCAATCCCCAGCACCACCAAATAAATAAACAAAAATAAAAAGGTGTGGGGACTTATCTTAGTGGTAAAGTACTCCTGGGTTCAATGCCCAGTACCAAGAAAAAAAAAAAAAAAGGACTTTTTGTAAAGTTCTTAGAACTTTACAAAGACTGATGACTGACTCATCTTCCCCCTACACAACTCTATGAAATGGATACTGCTATTATCCCTATTTTACAGATGAGGAAACTGAGGCACAGAGAGGTGAAGTCACTTGCCCAAGCTGATACACCTAGTGCTAGAAAGAAAGGAAGCAGGTATTGAGAATAATGAGAAGAACCTCACAAAGTGGGAGATACTGCAAACATCTAAGGGAAAGCATTCCAGACTAGCGCAAGGTCCCAGTATGGGAGCCCGGCATGGTGGGGCATGCAGGTGAAACTAGAGGGGTGTGAGGGCAAAAACCACAGAAAGGAACTTGAACTCAGTTTGAGTTCATAGCAACAGAGAGCTATGATAGATTTAAAAACAGATGAGATCCAATTTATGCCTTTAAAAGCTCAAATCGTCAGGCATGGTGGTGCACATGGGTAATCCCAGTAACTCCAGAGGCCCAGGCAGAAGGATTGAAAGTTCCAGGCTGGCCTGTGCAATTTAGCGAGACACAGTCTCAAAAAATAAAAAACAAAAAAGAGTGGAATGCAGCTCAGTAGTAGAGTGCCCCTGGGTTCCACCCCGTACTTAAACAAACAAAAAAACCTCGTTCTGGTTCCTATGCATAAACAAGACTGAAGATTAAGTCCTGGCCCACTGTGTTTTTCACTAGTAATTAGTGAAAATTAATTATTGCTTGATGTGCCCTTCTCAAGCTCACTGCAACTCTGGCTCTCCCTCTTCCTCAGGTTGGCCTTCCGAATGTTCAATATCACCGACTCTTGGAGGCATTGCCTGACCCAAGTTCTTTGCCATTTCCCAACACACCTTCCTGTTTTTTAAGAATTCCTTAGGACCTTTGACCCATAACTAAAAGCCTGTATGACCTTGAGCAAAGGACTTTGCTTCTCTGTAACTTCTGTGATTAGAGCTTCCAATCCACAGGATTGTTGTGAGGATTAAATGAACTCCGTGCTATGATTACTATGGTAATAAAAAATTGTGTTATTTATCTGCTTATAGTTATGCTCCCTTATTAGAGCATAGGATCCAACAGAGAGAAGGATCCAGGCACCTTAAGCCCTTATCCCGCTAAGGGGCGCGGCCAGCGGCCAGCAGGGCGTCAGGGGCGTGGCCACAGGGCATTTGGCGTGGTTTGCTGGGGTGAGGCGGAGCCAGCGTTGGGGCGTGGTCAGAAGGTGGGGCGGGCCCAGCTTTGGGGCGGGCCCGGCAGGGGCGGAGCACTCACTCAGGCGCAGCATGCCCTCCCCGTCCGGCTTGTCCTTCCACCACTGGCCCTCATAGATGTCTCCGTTGCTGTAGTACATTCGGCCCCACCCGCAGCGCTGGTTGCTACACCACTCGCCCTCGTAAAACTCCTTGGGTCCGAAAAACTGGACCCCATAGCCCTGAAAGCACAAAAATGTTTCTGTTCACAGAGCCCCCACCACAAGAGAAGCGCATCACCTTCCCAGGCACCAAGCCACCCACCTGAGCTCTGTCCTCGCTCAGCTCTCTATCCAAGCGGAGGGAGGGCCACACCTTGAAAGACCTCAGACTGTCCACTTCTCTCTGTCCCTCTGCTACCCCTGCACGCAGCCCACCATCCCCTCTCCCTCCCTTCAGATCCCCTTCCATCCTCTACCGTCCTTCAGCAGCCAGGGCACCCTTCCCCCACCCCACTGTACTGCTGGGGTTGGAACCCAGGGGTGCTCTACCACTGAGTTACATCCTTGGCCCTTTTAATTTTTTTTTTTTTTTTTGAGACAGAATCTTGTTAAGTTGCCCAGACTGCCCTCGAACTTGTGATCCTTCTGCCTCAGCTTCCTGAATCAGTAGGACTGCAGGTGTCCAGCCACCAAGTCTCCCTTGCCATACTGTCTCCATGTGGCTTAAAATGAAGATTCCTCCAAGTCTGTGAAAATAACTTGAGGGAACCTGTCCCTGTTTGGGAGTTCATGGCTCTTCTGACTGGCTTCTATCCCCTTCTTCCTTTCTTGTGCCATGGCCAAGGGTGTGGCTCTACATTTTGTTCCCAGTTTCCTACCCTCCCCTTTTATCCAGGCCCAGTATCCCCCAAAAGGGGAATTCTCAGAAGAGATGCCCAGGGAAAAGAAAGGCAGGTAATGACGAGGAGGAGGGTGGAGGAGACCTCAGCCTGGCCTGACAGGCCTGTGGTCTCCTTGGAGCCCCAGGGTTTCATGGGCTCCTCCCTGGGCCCCCTCCTCTTGCTTCCTGTTTCCTGGGTTTTGTTCTGAAATGCTTTGACCCTTGCTAGGCAAGCACTCTACCACTGAGCCACAACCCAGCCCCCCCAGTCTTATCTCTTAACAACTACATGACCATTAGTGGCCAGGTTTTCTAGAACATGCCTAGAAAACAGTTCTAAAGACACAAGGAGACCTATCTCCTACTAATCCAGCCACACCACCACTCCCACCTTCCAGATTACAATCCAATCACTATGGTTTTCATACCAGCCATGTTCCTGCCTCAGGGCCTTTACACTTGCGTGTCCTTTGTCTAGAACACTCTTCTCCAGGGGGTCTTTCCCAATGTAGGTCACACTCCCTGGGCTCCAGACTCTTACACACTGGCTCTCTCACACTCAGCAGGTATCAGACCCACCTCCACCCAGGGCATGCTGGGAACCACACTCACAGATTTCTTATCCTCTTTCCACCAGCCGGAGTAGACTCTCTGGTACTTTCTACTTCCTTTTTCAGGAAGGCTGAGGGTGCCATAGCCATCTCGCTTCCCAAACTTCCAGTCCCCTTCATAGATGGCTCCATTCTTCTTCCAGACCTGTGTTCCCTTCCCTGGTGACACATAGATGGGTCAACACTGCAGACATGGCCACCCTGGGGCTGGAGGCTGTGTGCTCGGACAGGCCTCAGGGACCCCTACACTGGCAATTCTCCAGGCCTAGGACAGGGTCTGCAACTCCTCTCTAGACTGCCAGAGCCCAGGAGAACCCCAGGAAAGCTCCATTTCTGCAAAGAGCTGTTCTCTGACAGCCTTTTGCCCTAAAGCCCAACTGATATAGCAAACCCCAAGGAGAAATCCACCCCTTCAGTGTTTCAGCCTCATCTCTTAAATATATACATATATGTGTGTGTGTGTATGTGTGTGTACACATATATATGTGTGTATGTTGTAGATGGACCCAACACCCTAATTTTACTTATTTATTTATTTTTGGTACCAGGGATTGAACTCAGGGACACTTGACCACTGAGCCACATCCCCAGCCTTATTTTGTATTTTATTTAGAGACAGGATCTCACTGAGTTGCTTAGGGCCTCGCTGAGTTGCTGAGGCTGGCTTTGAACTCGCGATCCTACTGTCTCAGCCTCTGAGCCACTGGGATTACAGGCGTGCGCCACTCTGCCCATCTTACTTATTGATTTATTTTAAAATATTTTTTAAGTTATAGATGGACACAGTACCTTTATTTTATTTATTTTTTATGTGGTGCTGAGGATCAAACCCAGTGCCTCACACATGCTAGGCAAGCACTCTACCACTGAGCCACAACTCAGCCCCCTCAGTCTTACCTCTTAATAACACTACATGACCATTAGTGGCCAGGTTTTCTAGAACATGCCTAGAAAACAGTTCTAAACACACAAGGAGACCTATCTCCTACTAATCCAGCCCCACCACCACTCCCACCTTCCAGATTACAATCCAATCACTATGGTTTTCATACCAGCCATGTTCCTGCCTCAGGGCCTTTACACTTGCTTGTCCTTTATCTAGAACACTCTTCTCCAGATACTCATTCCCTACTTCCAGCAAGGCTTGGCTGAAGCCTTATTTCCTTAATGAGGTCTCCCCTGACCATCCTGACCCAAATTACAAAGCCTCTCCCACACCCTTACCCGGCTCTGTTTCTTTCCATGTCCCTTATCAGCTCCTGACACAGTAGACAATTCTTTTGTCATTTTTTTGTGTGTTGTCTGTCTCTTCCAGGAGGATGCAAGCTCTACGAGAGTATGCACTGTCGATATGTTTTGTTCATCATGCCAAAGAACAGTGTCTGACATACAAGACCAATATTTATTGAACAAAGGAATGAATAAAATACAAGCCAATTCATGGCTTGTTCTTTTTAATATTTTTTTAATGTTTTATTTTTTAGTTGTAGTTGGTCACAATACCTTTATTTTATTTATTTATTTTTATGTGGTGCTTAGAATTGAACTGAGGGCCTTGCACATGCTAGGCAAGTGCTCTACCGGTGAGCCACAACCCCAGCCCCATGCTTGGTCTTTGATAGCCTGGGAACAAACCCAACATTGCCCCTGTGAGCTTTGTGACCTCAGGGAAGTAACTCTTTGGACCTGTCTAGGTCTCAGATGCCTCATCTATAAAATAGAGATGAGATTGTCTCATGGGACAACCTAACTATCTATACATGGGTGAATGAAGAAAGAAAATGTAGAGCTGGGCATGGTGGTGGCACATGCCTATAATCTCAGGTACTTGGGAGGCTGAGGCAGGATTGCAAGTTTGAGGTCAATTTAGGACACCTTAGAAAGACTCTGTATCAAAATTTTAAAAATAAAAATATAAAGTGGGCAGGGGGGCGCTGGGGATGTGGCTCAAGCGGTAGCACGTCCGCCTGGCATGCGTGCGGCCCAGGTTCGATCCTCAGCACCACATACAAACAAAGATGTTGTGTCTGCCGAAAAAAAATAAAATAAATAAAGAGAGAGAGAGTTTTTAAAGTGGGCAGGGGATGTAGTTCAGTGCTGCAGTGTTCCTGGGTGGTTCAATCCACAATACTTAAAAAAAAAAAAGGAAGGATATATATGTGTATATGTATCTGTGTATATATATGAAGTGGGAAAGAAAGGAATATTATTCATTCTTAAAGAAAAGGAGATTCAGCTAGGCGTGGTGGTGCACACCTGTAATCCCAGTGGCTTGGGAAGCTGAGTCAGGAGGATCGTGAATTCAAAGCCAGCCTCAGCAAAAGTGAGGAGCTAAACAACTCAGTGAGACCCTGTCTATAAATAAAATGTAAAATAAGGCTGTGGCTGTGGCTCAGTGGTCCAGTGCCCCTGAGTTCAAACCCAGGTATCAAAAAAAAAAAAAAAGGAAATCCTGCCATTTGGGGCAACATGGATAAATATGGAAAAACCTAGAGCACCTTATCTTTTTTATTGCTTTTTTTTTTTTTTGGTAATGGATTGAACTCAGGGGTGCTTAACCACTGAGCCACATCCTAGCCCTTTTTATCTTTTATTTTGAGACAGGGTCTCACTAAGTTACCCAGTCTGGCTTTGAGTTTGAGAATTTCCTGCTATGGCCTCCCAAGTTGCTGGGATTATAGGCATGAGCCACTGCACCCAGCTGGAGCACATTATCTCGATAGTAAAATAAGCCAGACACAGAAAGATAAATATCACATGATGTCACTTATATGTGGAATATAAAAACGTCAAACTCGTAGAAACAGAGTAGAATGATAGTTACCAGGAGCTGGGTATGAGGGAAATGGGAAGATGTTGGCCAAAGGGTATAAAGTTTCAATTACAAAGCCCGGCTCTATGTGCACACCTATAATCCCTGTGACTCAGGAAGCTGAGGCAGGAGGATTGAAAGTTTGAGGCTAGCCTCAACAATTTAGCAAGGCCCTAAGCAACTTAGTGAGAGCTTGTCTCAAAATTTTAAAGAAAGGGCTTGGATGTTGCTCAGTGGTAAAGTGCCCCTGGGTTCAATCCCTGGTACCAAAACCAAAACGAAACAAAAAACCTTTCAGTTATTATTTTTTAGTTTTCGGAAGACATAACATCTTTGTTTGTGGTGCTGAGGATCGAACCCGGGCCGCATGCATGCCAGGCGAGCGCGCTACTGCTTGAGCCACATCCCCAGCCCCTGGCCATATTATTAAAAAAAGCACAACTCACCTTGGCCTTTGAAGCCCTATGTAGTTGGCTCTACTAACCATCCTGCTCTCCTTCTTTCACTGTGCTTCAGTCACTGGATGCAGTGTCCCTGGATGCAGCCACACACCCTCTTAATATTTCAGACCATCCCTCCCCTCTGGTTCCACTTTCTAGAAGGCATGCTGCTCTGCCCTCCAGGGTCTGAGACACATTCTCATCCTTGGGCCCCACTCAAATATCACTGCTACCCCTGACTATCTGTCTCTCAGGGCCCCTTAGCTCTCCTCTCTGGTCCCCTTCTCATCCTGATGCCACCACTTTTAGCTGCTCCATCTTGGGTAGTTACTTCCTGTCTGTGAATCCCAGTTACCCCATTTGTGAGATTTTTTTTTCTGGTACTGGGAATTGAACTCAGGGGCACTTGATCACTGAGCCACATCCCCAGTCCTATTTTGTACTTTATTTAGAGACAGGGTCTCACTGAGTTGCTCTGTGCCTTGCAGTTGCTGAGGCTGGCTTTGAACTCGAGATCCTCCTGTCTCAGCCTCCAGAGCTGCTGGGATTATAGGCATGTGCCACTGCGCCCGGCCCATTTGTGAGATTTGATGTTACCTTATTGTGCAGGTTCTCGGCAAGACCAGAGGATCCCTGAGGATTGGAATTGTGTCAGTTGCCCAGCACTGGGTCTGGCATGGATGGGCAGTTCAGTAAGTATTTTTGAAGTGAGCAGTCTTAAGAAACCTCTGAGATACCCAATCCTGCAATCCCGGCCCCTCATGATCTTTCTTTCTTTCTTTTTTTTGCAGTGCTAGATTGAACCCAGGGCCTCATGCATGCTAGGTGAGTGCTCTATCCCAGCCCCAGCACTCGCTCTTGTGACTGCTACTAATCTGTCCATATTCACTTCAACTTAGTCAAATGTGTCCCAAAGAGCAGGGGTCTGGATTCTGCATTCCCAGAATTCACCAACAGCCCCAGGCTCCTCTACTCTGGGTGTTCTCCTCCAGGGTCTGAGACACATTTGACAGAAGTTCCCCTATTGCATGAGTCCTGGGCTACAAGATTGATGGATGCCATCTCTTAGCTTTACAAATCGGTCTTGGGGTGTGGCTCAGTGGTAGAGCTCTCGCCTAGCATGCATGCGGCTCTGGGTCTAATCCCCAGGACAGGAAGGCAGTAGAGGGCAAGGATTGAGAGCTGGCAAAAGTGAAGAAGCCTGGTCAGGTTTTTGAATAAAAAGGCTGCCTTTTCCTTTTGCCAACCAGTCCCAAGCTTAACCCATATTTCAGAGAGCAGGGACCTCGCTCAATCCCCAGAGCCCCAGCGGCAGGCTGGCTTCTGGAGGCCCCTTTGTCCCCTGCTGGTCCCAAGACCCTCACGCAGCTGAGGTCAGGGCTGAAGTAGGTTCCAGATCCCCAGCACGGGGAGGTCCTTTCTGGTCCAGGTCACCACCCTACTTGGAGAGCCTTAGGGTCACCTCTTATGTCCCTAATGAATTCTGCACAGTTTTCTTGTGCCTGTTGCCTGCCCACCACAGCTCTGACCTCACACTGGCTACCTGAGGGTCCCCCGCTCACCATGTTTTGTGTTGTCCTTCCACTCGCCCACGTAGTGATCACCATTCACAGCATACACTTGGTGTCTCAGTCCGTTCTTCTGGGCCTTCTGGTCCCACCCCTTCCATAGGGGCTCCGACTTTGGGGGGCATTTGAAGACTGGCATGTTGGTTGCTTCTGTGGGGCCAGAAGGTGCTGGAAAAGGGACAGGGACATGAGGGGTTTAGTGTGCCTTGTTTACAGGCTGGGATCCTAGGGTTTCCCAGGGAGGCACCTGAGTGCAGGTGGGATGATTCATGTGTATTCTGAGTCCCCAGGGCAGATGAGCAGCCTATGGAAGGGGGTCCTTTTGTGCTGGGCTGACCCTTAGCTATTCCCTCCCTTGCCTTCCCCTAGGGCCCCCTCCATGGGGATCTGATGGAACAATTGCTTGGGAATCCAGGGAGACCATTAGGAACCCAGGGTTTATGATGGCATCAGAGAGAAGCTGCCGCTTGGAGGAATGACAGTCACATATTTGATGACTAGAATGATCAATCAGAGTAGGTCCTGGTCCTGTGGCTGGAGGAACCCAGGGGAAAGGGCCAGGTGGTGGGAGCAAGGGGGTATCTGGCAGACAGCTGGCTTTTGCATAGCTTGCAGGAACCGCCTGCCCCCCAGGGCCAAGCATTGTACTGTGGTTCCCCATGGTCCTGCCTCATCTATCTAGCTGACAGGATGGTGGCAAATCCCAGGGGCTGAGTTTGACAATTAAAGAGACGGTGGGGGGAAGGGCGGGTGGTGACCAAGTGAGCAGGTTTCGTGGGGCTGAAGGGTTTCCTGGCACCTCAGATTTTTGGTGCTAAAATATGGGACAGTCCCAGGCACACCAGGACTGTCACCCTTCCATGTGTGACCCTTAACTTCCATCCCACTGCCTTGTTAGGTTTTTTTTCCACTGGACCCAGCTCTGCTTAGTTTAGTCGCAGAGGGACTTTGTTGGGGGGAATGTAGGTCTTCCCTTCAGGGTCTGGGAGCCTGTGTTTCTATTCCTTGTGTCCCCAGAATCTCCAACACAGACATTCACGGCCAGCTGTCTGTCTTCGTTTGTCTTGTTCATGGGTGATAAAAATGGCCTTCTCCAAATCCTGGGGACCCTTGTCTTCCCTCAGCAGCTGCATGGTTTCCGGGGCTACACATAAGCACTCCCAGGTACTGACATACTCAGATACTGACCAATTAGAATGGCCTCAGAGACAGCAGATTCCAAGAGATCATGGTGTCCCAGCAACCATCCATGGGGCCAGCCTGCTGGGCATGTGCCCCCTGTGCAGCTGCATAGCAGGTCCTCCTTACAAGCCCTGAGCTACATCTTTGGTTTACTGTTCTTCTATTACCATTTCAAAATTCTTATACTTTTGGAGCAAAGGCCCCTGAGTTTACATTTTGCACCGTGTATCCGTGTCCTCTTTAGATAGTCTTGGTCTTGTACATACTCTTCAGTTGCTGTATTGTGTGGTAGCTGGAGCTCTGGGGGGGGGGGTGCTCAGATAGGAAGAGGGAGCCTGGCTAGTATGAACAGATTTGGCTGCTGGCTGAATGTTGGTGTTGCCCATCTGCATTTGCAGTCCCCCTACCCCCGTCCCCATTCTGGGGATTGAATCCAGGAGCACTTTACTGCTGAACTACATCCTCAGTCCCCTCTGCCCTTTTATTTTGTCAGGGTCTTGCTAAATTGCTGAGGCTGGCCTCAAACTTGCAATCCTTCTGCCTTGGCCTTCTGAATTGCTGGGATCACAGGCATGCACCACCATTGACAGTTTTTAGCATTCTTATATGTTCTTCAGCATCAATCTAAATTGCACCATCTCTGAGCGTGCCTGAGGCTGGAATCCCTCACTACTATGCCCTCCACCCCAAAGAAAAGGGTCTCCTTGGGACCACCAGGACTGTGTCTTTCTTTTTTCCCACTTGTCCCTGTGGGAAAGTATACTTTTAGCTAAGAAGAGTTAAATGGGCTCTGAGGGTACACTCCTCCTTTCCTCCCTCTCCCATTTTTTTCTTTTTAAACTAGATGTGGGGCAGGGGGAAGTCATAGCCTCTTGCTCTGGATTGAAAGACTGTCTCCCCAGAGTAGGACCTCCAGGATTTTATTTTATCTTTTTTTAAAAATACTTTTTTTGGGGGCTGGGGCCGTAGCTCAGTGGCAGAGCTCTTACCTTGGACGTGGGAGGCACTGGGTTCAATCCTCGGCACCACATAAATAAATACACAAATAAAATAAAGGCATGCTGTCCATCTACAACTACAAAAAAAAAATTTAAAAATACATTTTTACGTTGTAGATGGACACAATACCTTTGTTTTATTTGTGTTTATATATATATATATATATATATATATATATATATATATATATATATGGAGAGAGAGAGAGAGAGCGCGCGCACTTGCGCTAGGGATTGTACCCAGTGCCTCAAGCCTGCTAGGCAAGCACTCTACCACTGAGCCACAACTCCAGCCCCTTATTTTATCTTTTATACTGGGGATTGACTTCCAAAGTATTTTAGTACTGAGCTACATCCCCCGTCCTTTTTACTTTTTAATTGTGATACAGGGTGGACCTAAGTTGCTGAGGGTATCATTAAATTACTGAGGCTGGCCTTGAACTTGGGATTCTCCTGCCTCAGTCTCCCAAATAACTAGGATCACAGGTGTGTCTGGGAATGAATAATCTTTATGTTAATTCATTTTAAAAATTGATACCTTTATCCAAACAAGTAGACTTTACACACCCTTACCAAAAGTAGAAAACTGGAACCAGGTACTCTAGGGTGAAGAGAACTAAAAATAAAAGTACCCAAAATGGGGCTGGGGTGGTGGCTCAGTGGTAGAGTGCTTGCCTAGCATGCATGAGGCACTGAGTTCGATCCTTGGCACCACATTTAAAACAAAACAAAACAAACAAACAAAAAAAACAACTAAAGATACATAAATAAATATTTTTTAAAAGTACCCAAAATAACCAATTTAAATCTTAGCTAGGTTTTGTGGCTTACAGCTGGCTGAGTTCCAAGGTCTCTGCTAAAATGAAAGATAAGCAAAAACTAAAACAAGTGTTAATGCCATGATAGCCCCATATTGACACTTTCTCCTTGGCTTACTCAGAAACATAACAAACCACAGACTCGAATAACTGTCCTTTTCATTTCGTTTTGCTTGGGATGAACCCAGGGCCTTGCACATGCCAGTCAAGTCCTCTACCACTGAGCTACGCCCCTAGCACAAGTAATAACTTTCTTATGATGTCACTGGTGTTATTTACTGCTTCATTAGTGCCACATAAAGTCCATCTCCCATCCACACTTCCGGAACTTAGGTCTACTCCGGGGAAGGTTGCAAGTTGTAAAACAATAGCTATTGATAGGAAAAGAAAGGCTTGCAAGCCTGTCCAGGCTGTTTTGATCCTAAATAATAATGAGGACCACAGAAGAAGGTGGAGGGGGCGGTGCCCAGGCCGCTGGGGGTTAGCTGGAGCCCCAGTCCACCTACGCTCACCTGCGGTCCCTCGCAACCTCTCGCCGCCTCACCATCAGCTTGCAACTTTAGTCCCCGCAGGTGGTGGAGCTGCAGGGGTCGCTATGGCAACGAGACGCTCGCAGCAAAACAATCAGTTTCCGCCCCTTCCTGCTGAGACCCGGTAGCAGGAAATTTTGAAGGGCAAACCAACCCGCGCTGGTTCTTAGTCTCATGGGGGCGGGGGAGGGGGTGCGGTCTGCACCGCTTCAAGCGTCTGTGGGAAGCTCTGGGACCCCCAGCCCTGGACAGTGCATTTGTATTGCACAGTCCCTCCTCTGCTCTCACCCGACAGTATGGGGGGAAAAGCCCTTACGATGACCTTCAAGACCCCGGGTGACCTGCCCAGCCCCTCCCCTGCCCTCTTGGCCACTTTGCTCTGCTCCTTGCACCCAGTCTCTGCCCCAACCACACACTTGCTTCTTGACTGTTCCTGGAAAGTGCTGGGCACGTTCCGGCCTCAGGGTCTTTACCTCTTCTTTGCCCACTGCCAGGACATCTCTTCCTCTAGAGAGCCGCATGGATCGCTCCTTCCTCTCCTTCAGGGTTGTATTCAAACGTCACCCCCTCACCGAGAAGTTCCTGGAACAAGCACCCTGTTTAAAATTGGAATCTCCACATGTACTTGTCAAAGCTCATCCCTGTTTTGTGTTCTGTTAGCGCTTGGCGCAGGCGCCTCCACACATTACTGTTTGTCTCTGAAGACTAAGATTTTTTTCTTCCCACTTTTGTTTTCAATGAAAAATTTCAAACACAGAAAAACATAACTACAATGAACACCTGCTACAACATCTGCCTATATTCAACAGTTACTGGCTTTTACCTTCCCCCCTCCCCCCAAGGCATTGAATCTAGGGACTCTAACCACTGAGCTACACCCAGCCTATTTATTTATTTATTTAGTTGCTGGTGATTGAACCCAAGGGTCTTAACCACTGAGCCACATCCCCAGCCCTTTTTTAATATTTTATTTAGAGACAGGGTCTCACTGAGTTGCTTAGGGCCTCACTAAGTTGCTGAGGCTGACTTTGAACTCTTGATCCTCCTGCCTCAGCCTCCAAAGCTGCTGGGCTCCCAGCTCTTTTTTGTTTTGAGACAGAGTCTTGCTAGGTTGCTGTAATATCAAATAGCTGGTATTACAGGTGTGTGCCACCATAACTGACATTTTGCCATACTTGAAAGCAGAGAGGTTTTTTTTATTTATTTTTTCCCCCACGGCTGTCTCCATAGAATCCAGAAGACTGCCAGGAGCACAGTAGTTGCTCAATAATTATTGTTAAATGAATGAATGATGTGCACTTAGGAACTCCTGCTTTGGGAGTCTGTGGTCCTCAGGTAAAGTCCCTTGCCAGAGACAAGCCAGACTCTCCAACATGGTTGCAGAAATCTAAATAGGATCTTGCCCAGGAATATCCAGCTTGTTGGATCTGCTGCTGGGATCTGAGAGGCTCTGCCTTCCTGGAGGACCAGCTTTTTCTAATTTGCACAAAACTGTGGTATGGACCTGACATAGCCCTGAGACGAACTGTGCAGGTGACCTGAAACTGGGTTTCCCGGAGATGGTGATACCCCCTGCTGCACCAAATCACCTCTATCCTGCTACAAAAAGAGTTCTGTGCTGTTCCATCCTGTGCTCCCGACTTTTCACACAATCTTGGCTCATAGCAGGCACTTAGGAAGTCCCTGGTAAATAGGAAAATGATTAAGGGGGCTGGTCCTCAGCCTGTTTGTCCTCTGATTCTTTTTTTTTTTTTTTTGTACTGTAGATTGAACCAGGGATTTACCACTGAACTATATCCCCAGTCCTTTTAATTTTTAATTTTAAGAGAGGGTCTCACTAAGTTGTTGAGGGTCTTCCTAAATTGCTGATTCTAGCCTCAAACTTGTAATCCTGCTGCTTCAGCCTCTAGAGTCATTGATATTACAGGTGTGGACCTCTGTGCCTGGTGGAAGTGGGATAGTGGGATGGGGGTGGGTTATCATTTTTTCCCCCTGCTGTTCTTTCAGTGTAGGTAGCACCTAATTGGTCCAACTACTTGGCACGGATTTTGGTTTTCTACCTAGACCTTGACAGTGGGGTCAGTGACCAGTAACACTAAAAATATATGCCTCTGGTAAGATTGCTGCCTAGTTAGTACAGGTGACCTGAGACTGGATACAGCTGACACTGGTGCTGGCCACATGATATTCTCAAATCTGTCCTGCCTGTTCCATGTGCTCATCCCCTCCACCATGCGGCCAGCGCATTGGTTTCATTAATGAGGTTCTTGGCATAAAAGTTAACTAGTGAGATCGAAATAAAACACACAGACTCGTTACCTTTTTCTATGACCGGGTCCGAGATGGCTCCCCTCTCTGGCTCCAACCTAGCCACCTGTAGGGCAGCAAGGATTACCCAGGGCTAGCAGGAGAGAGAGAGCGCGCGAGCACGCCAGGGAGTAGCCTTTTATTGGGGAACAAGAAATTCAGGGGAGAATTCCATCCAATGAAGGTTGAGGGGGGGCCGCACTCCAAGCTGAGGGTCAGTGATTGGCCCCCGGGGTCAGTGGTCAGTCACACCCTCATCAGGAGAGCGCCAGGAAAGCTCCGACACAGATTAGTCAGAGCACCTCAGACCCAAACCCGGAGTCGCCCAGTCACGTGTGAGAATGGCTCTCCACAATCCCCCATCTTCTAAGTGCTTCTCCAGCTCTGGTTCTTCAGAGGACCGTCCCTGAGCTCCAGGAGCCTCCTCACCTGTGGGGGGAGGAAGCTAGAAGGGCGTGGGAATTGTGCAGCCCAGGAAGGCCCCTGGCCGATGACCAACTGATATGGGAAAGTGAAGGGCCTTGCTTCAAGACTGCAAAAACTCTCAAGTGAAGTATTTTTTCTATTTTTGATTATTTTGTTTATTGTGGTAATTTATACATAATGTAAAAATTACTGGGCTGGGGATGTGGCTCAAGCGGTAGCGTGCTCGCCTAGCATGCGTGCGGCCCAGGTTCGATCCTCAGCACCACATACAAACAAAGATGTTGTGTCCGCCGAGAACTAAAAAATAAATATTAAAAATTTTTTTTCTCTCTCTCTTTCCCACTCTCTCTTAAAAAAAATAATGTAAAAATTACCATTTTAATCGTTTGGGAGGTGTGCTAGGGACTGAACCCAGGGCCTTGTGCATTCTAAGCACATGCTTTACCACTGAGCTGTACCCCCAGACCCATTTTAAACATTTTTTTAGCATGCAGTCAAGTGGCATTAAGTATCTTCACATTATTATACAAACCATTACCACCAATGCAAGTTGAAAGCAACCATTTCCAGAACTTTTCCCCAGTCCCCATTGAACTCTTTAGCCTCCAATTTGTGTCTCTATGAATCTGACTACTCTAGGGACCTCAAGTAAGTGGATTCACACGACCTTGGTTGAAGGATGATTTTCATGCTAGTTTTCCCTGAGTCATCAGGTCAAGGTCAGAACATCTCTGTACTCCTGCTTGGCTTCTTCTCCACAGTACTCCTTGGTCTATTAATCAGTTTTTCCTAGGAGCACTCCATAAAAAATCATCAAGGGGCTCAGGTTGTAGCTCAGTGGTTGAGTGCTTGCTGCGCAAGCGTGAGGCACTGGGTTCGATATTCAGCACCACATAGATAAATAAATAAAATAAAGATATTTTTTAAAAAATTATATCAAGACACTGTATGTATTTTTGCTTTTTTTTTTTTTTTGTTCCCCCCTTGGGTATTGGGGATTGAACCCAGGGCCTCACACATGCTGAGCATGGTTCTGCCTTTGAGCAATACCCCCAGCTTGGCTATACTGGTTTTATTCTCTTTCTCTGTCTCCCCACCCCGCCACAGTGAACTTCCACAGTGTATCTTCCTGCCTTATCCAAGGTTCTTTGGTTGCAAAGAAAGCATCTCATGCTCTCCAAAAAGGGAAATTTATTAAAGGATATAGAGTGTTTTATGGAGGCCAAACACAGGAAATTCAACTAGTGTTTATAAGGAACTGGACTCCGAGACTGGAAAACTGTCAGCAAAGCATTCTCTCTCTCTCTCTCTCTCTCTCTCTCTCTCTCTCTCTCTCTCTCTCTGCCCTGTTCCTCCTCCCCACATTTCTCTGCATGTTTCCCTCATCTTTCTCATTCTACCATCAACTTTCCCATGCTCATGGTAGAAAATGGCTGCTCTCTGGGTCATTTTGGTTCCAACTTCACACAAAAATTAACCATTTTCAAATTCCAGTCCCAAATTCCTAATTGGCCCAGCTGGGGTTCTGGAGTCTGTCCGAGCCAGCCATGCCACTGACACTATGGTTCTCCTTGGGACGTCTTCCTCTCCTCCTCAGGCATCTGGCCAGCAGCTCCAGCCAGCTTTTACCCTGGTACTAACTGTCCCTTGGCTGGTGTCCCTGTCTAGAGTCGCCCTGCCACCTGCTGAGTGGTACCTCATGGTCTAGAACCCCCATCCCCCCAGGCCAGGATACCACACTGAGCCTAGGGAACTGAACATCACACTGCAGTCCCACAGGGCAAGGCACCCTTTCCCAGCCCCTGATCAGACTCGGCTCAGAGGAAGCAAAAAGGACTGCCCCATTGAGAAGCATCTGGCCTCCATCTTATCTGCATCAGCAGGCTGGCTGGAAGGGCAGGTTGCAAGTCTATACCATTAGTCTTTCCATGAGATCAGAGTCTGGTGGCATTTTTCACAAACCCTGAGTAGGTGGCTTGGACTGGCCACTCCCCAGCATACCACCTCTGGGGCTCTGGCCCCAAATACCCTTCTAGTAATCACTTGGCAGATCTGAATGCCTAGAATTTGTTTGGACTCCTCTCAAAAACCTTGTTTACAGAGTGGAGTGCAGAGAGTTGCCTGGGTAGTCTGGGGTGAGAGGGACTCCCCCACATGCCGCAGACAAATGTTCCCTTGGGGAGGTGTGGTCCTGTCCACATTTTCCTGGACCCAGAGTTTTGGCTTGAGGCCTGGATGCACAGCCCTGGCAGGGAACCCTGGGATTTCATCCAATGCCTGCTGAGTTGTCCAGCTCCAGGGGGCGCTAGTCACACTATCATCCATTCCTGAGAACAAGGCAGAAAACAAAGAGAGAGTGTGTGTGTGTGTTGGAAGGGGGGCGGGTCTCCTGGAATGGAGCAACCCGGGCTCAACCTTCCCAGAAGTAGAAGGACAGACCCACCTGTAAGGACCAGCAAAAGACTCCACTGCATACAATGGACAATGGTGGAGACAACCCAAGTATCTGTCAACAGATGGATGAATAAACAAAATACAGTCTGCCTATACAATAGGATATTATTTGGCTATAAAATGGAATGAAGTTCTGATACATGCTACAACATGGATGAACCTTGAAAACATGATGCTAAGTGAAGGAATCCAGACACAAAAGGCCACTTATTTTTATTCTGTACATTTGAAATGCACAGATCCACAGATAGAAAATTGGCAGGGGCTGTGGTTGGGGCTCAGTGGTAGAGTGCTTGGTGAGGCGCTGGGTCTGATCCTTAGCACCACATAAAAATAAATAAATAAAAATAAAGGGGCTGAGGCTGTGGCTCAGCAGGTGGCACGCTTGTCTGGAAAGCATGAGGCATTGGGTTCGATCCTCGGCACCACATATAAATAAATAAATGTCCATTGACAAC